GGCCTACCTTCTGTCTTTTTCCAGTAGACCTTGACTTGCAGCTGATTGTCTTGGTAGAAGGGAGCTCCGATTTCCAGGGGGCGCGGGGGCCGTCTTCTTTGGAAGGGGGGCTGTGTTTGGATCCCAGCTTGGCTAGGTTTCCCAACCTGCTCTTCTACAAAAACAAAACAAAACAAAACAAACAAAAAAACAGCACTTTAACTGACTTATTATTGAGAACCATCTGATATTAACTCCGGGGTATTTCCCGGGATCCTGTCCCTCTTTCCAGGGCCTSTTGGTCGCTGTGGAAGGTGATGAACGCATGCTCTTTTATGTTTGAGAGAATGACCCCCAATGGCTTCCCAATGCTCTGGAATGCCTACAGGTGTGTTACGCAGAATTCCCAGACCTTAAATTGGTAGTCCATCTATGTTTGCACTTCAGAAACAGGAACAGGTAACATTTCTCATTGTAGATAAGCATTAAAAGAAGAAGAAGAATGTGCTCTTGTTCATTACTACTTTTGAAACATGGACTTTTTTTTTTCCTATTCTGTATTTAAAAATGTTCTCAAGACATACTCAGAGAGTGAGAAAAGCAAAAGTCAYCCTTACTTTTATATATGAGCTTGAAAAACTCCATATTCAACAAGAGCTCAGGATATGCTATGATGAATAATATAATTTAATATGCTCTAATATAATTTCAGAATATTTCTTTGAAATAAACCATTCAAACTTTGACTCTTTTTTTTTTTTGTACCAGGGATAGATCCCAGGGGTTCTTAACCACCGAGCCACATCCCCAGCCCTTTTTAATTATATATTTTGAGACAGTCTCGCTGAGTTGCTTTGAGGCTCCCTAAGTTGCTGAGACTGACTTTGAACTTGAGATCCTCCTGCCTCAGCCTCCCGAGCTGCTGGGATTCCCCACATGAGGCTACACCTTTACTTGTGTGAATTTCATGAAAAAGCAGCACAAATGGTACGGGGCATAGTGACACGGATGACGGATGTGGGTAGGCCTGTGCATATGCATTTTCTCAAGCCAAAGTCGGGTCCTAATCCGATCAGACTGGGGGTCCTATAGGAAGAGGAGTTTCGGATGCAGATGTGCACAGAGTTAAGACCCAGGGAGGACAGGCAGGGGACACCTGTATGCTAATGGAAAGACTGGAGGAAGGCTCAGAAGGATMGGCATCGCTGGCACCTTGGTGTTGAACTCAACTTGCAGAACTATGAGAAAATACATTTCTGTTGTTGAAGCCCCTCACTGTGGAGGAGGTGGGGTACAGTAGCCCCAGGAAACCAAGACAGTAGAAATGGAAATWTCCCTTCCAGGGATGCTGGCTACAGGGATGTGGAAGATTGGCTACTTCTTACTCCTTGTCCTATGAACATGGCAGAGGATTTGAAGGTACCAAGATGCGCAGAGAGTCGGATCAACATAACCTGAATGGAAAATGTACAGTGACAGATTAAAGACACTCAAGTAACTAACAGGGTGCTGAATCCTCTCTCTTTCCACCCACCTTTGACACAGCCCTMGATACAGTAACTCTTGTCAAGTTGGATCACAGTGAGACCGAACTCAGGATCTCCTGATATCTGGAGATATTTCCCTATTTGGAAACCAACAACTGGTACATATTTAGCTGCCCTCTTTGCAGGTCCTGCTGGGGAGGTGGCCTGGTCAGGGCACCAGGACCCCAGTGGGTGGTGGAGGGCCAGCCTGGGATTCCCTAAGAGGGTTAGAGGGGCAGCAGGAGTGGGCCTSCAGAGGGGTGGGCTCTTGTGCAGATGCAGCAGCACTGTCAGCCGGGGTGTGGGCAGAGGGGCCATGAGGATTGGATGGTGCCCACTCCATAGCAGAGCTATGCATCTGGAGTGATGTTGGCCTGGCACCTCAAGCCAGGTACAGAACGGATAGAATCAGAGGGCAGAGGTGTCTGTGAGGGCGGAGACTGGCACAGCTGCCCCTGGCTGGATGCTCCCCGGACAAAGACCTTCTCAGGACTCTCTCCAGTTGCCACCAGAAGAGCAGGAGCTAGGGTTCCAGAGAGAGGATGGCACGCCAGTGGGCCATGGGAGGCCGAGCCATGCTGGGTGGGGGGTCTGAAGAAGTCAGGGTGCATCACCCATGTAAGAGGTACCTGCAAGACAGAGGTCCCCAGAGGGGTCCCCAGAGGCTCCCAAAGAGCACTTCGAATATGGATGCCCACCAGGACCGAGGGCCACCAACAGCTAGAGGGAGCCCCAGAGGGCCCTGGCCAGGGGAAGACACTTGGCCTTGCTTGTCTGTCTGTCCCACCTCTCCTGCCCCCACTTGTC